GGAGATAATATTCTACAACTGCAGATTGAGAGGCTTGCAGGCTAGAGGTGTCAGGCAGAGAAATGCCTGCAACAGGCAGCACACAAAGCACTGAAGGAGTGAAAGAGACTGTTGACAGCTGCTACTGTTTCCCTGTTAATGCTGTGCTGGTGGGATTTGTTGTTAAATAAATACCATGTATATTAATTTATGCAAGGAAGGCTGACATTTCAGTCCAGAAATGTTGATTTGGGAGCGCATATTCCAAGAGGTACCCACACTGCCTTTTAGTCACATCACTTACGCTTAAATGAGCTACTTTTGCCATCTTCAGTATTTGAAGAAGTTGTTAACTAGTGAAACCAGATGCAAACACACAGTAGCTTCTTTAAATAGCTGAATCAATTGTGTAGTGTTAATACTGGATTTTATTTAGATGTAACTGCCAGCAGTTTTTTTATTTGCAGCCATTTTGTTTGTTGACATTTCTGTAGTTCTGTCTGCAAATGGGAGAATCAAATCAGATCAATCACTAAAAACTAGGAAGCTGAAATAATTTTTGCACTTGGTTGCTAGTTACAACGTCTGAACGATGCGACGTAATACTATGTCCTGCTGCCTTTTATCCTGAAAGGCCCTGCACTCAAACACACATTTTCAATGATTGTCTCATTAGAGATCTGCTCAGGTGCTATGCTGGACTTGCATAAGGTCAACTGACTCCATGTACTTATGAGAGAGATGTTTTATTCTCGCCGAAAGTGGTGCAACAAAGCTAACAGGAGAGTCAGTGACACAACAATCAAGCATATAGGATACACCCCTACATAGTCCTGAGCGTAGTGAAATCACTCCCTCATTCACACTTCCTTATATAACAGACACCCATTAGTTTACTTATAGTGAACACAAAATTTAGATCCTGGACACTTACTGTATGAAACGCCATCAGCTGTAGAGTCACACAGGAACCTGGAAAATGCAACATGTTGCATTGTGGGATTGTTAACAGAAAGCAGTGTACATGTCATAAACACTATTTGCTGTGTTCACCTGTGAGGGCACTATAGTGCTTAACTTAAACTTAAATAAATTGGTGGACAGTATAACACACATAGACAGTGATTTCAGCCACAACTGAAGCCTAATCAGTCCAAATAATTAAAAACACCTCTGTGGGTTCACCATGAGTGTGCAGGGAATGTTAACAAGGCAAGATATTGATCTTTAAAGTAAAAAGACTGCATCAGAGTTATGAGTGCACTGCTTTTCTTCATTCTTTCTGCCCATAACTTTAGTCCAACAGCAAGCATTAATAGTGTGACAATCTTCCCACCCTGAGTGATTAAAATGGCTGCTATCAGGTAGGACAGAATTTTATTGTGAAGCACTATAAGCTATATAAATAAATATTTACTTATTTCCAAGTAACACAGAGATATTTTTGTGCTGTGCCTGTAACAAAACCTGCATATAAATAAATTAGCTTATCACATTGCAATTGGCTGCCCTGCCCAGGCCTGCAACAACAACACAATGAACAGCTGAGACACAACATGATGAAAATCACATCGAGAGCTTGCTGCAATAAAAACAAATGAGGAAAATTGCAAAAGCACCAATATTCCTCATTCCATATATAAGAATGTTTCAGCCCAACCAGAAACGGTGCAACAGGAGGAAATACAGTTTCTGAATAAGAGCCGCATGGATTAAAATGACACAATGCAAAAGCAATAAACAGAAAGAGAGACTAACAATTTGAAGTTTATACTCTGTCTCCCTGCTGGAAGAAACTCAAGCAGAACAGCAACAAATATGTTTAAGTGCCAAGAAAATGTTGACAAGGCAGAAACCTATTAGACTGCAAGGAACAAAGTCAGCACCAGCAGTCATCAGCCTGAAATAATTCTTCATCAAACACCTGAGAGCTCACTGCCGTTAGATACTGTCGACCGAACAAGCAGTGGACATTTTTCATCACACACATCCACACACTTTAACTATTGAAAGTATTAAAGCTACACATACACACACGTGTGCGTGTGTGTGTGTTTGAGAGCTGTGAGCACCAAGTAATTTCCAGGGCCAACAGGATTATCAGTGTATGTTCTGGAAGATGGCAGGGAATCACCCTTCAAGTTAATGAAACAGTTAGCGTAATTGGTCTTCATCTGTCATCTCAAACAGAGCAGTGGACTGTTTGAGTCCTGAGAAAGAGAGAGAGAGAGAGAGATTACTGACGGGACAGTGATGAAAATTGGTCTGAGGATAATGAGTCCCGTTGTCTTTTCATCCTCTCATCCTCTGTCTCTCTCTCTCCCCTCTCTCATTACTCAGAGTGACTGGTCGTCGAGTAGCTTCACAGTCTGCTGCTTATTAAAAAACCCAGAGCGCCTTTAGATGAGTTCATCAGGCTCTCCACCCTTTCTTTCCCCTCCATCTCCATCCTCCCGCCAGTTCTGCATCCTCTCATCCCAGCACCTTTTTTTCCTCCCCTCTCTCAGTTTGAACTCCTACATCCTTCCTCTCTCTGTCTCTTTATTCCTCCCTCTTCCATCTGTTTATTTTTTCCACCATCCTGTAGAGTAAAACAGCGAGAAATAGAAATGAGGAGGAGGAGGAAGGAGGAGAAATGGAGGCCCAGGCAGGGAGGGAATCAAAGAGCTCAGTAGAGGAAAAGACAATCCCCTTTGTGGCAGATGAAGCTTTTATAGAAATGGGGAGCTTTCTACCAATTTCCTGTTGATATTCTTTGTAGTTTATTTTTCCCCCTACAACCAATCTCCTTCCTTTGTCCCAACACTCCACCCCCCTCCTCCCAGTGCGTCTGTGCCACCGTGGCAGATTGTTTGGAATCAATAAAGATGGTTGTTGGCAGGGCGGGACGGTGGTTCGCTAAACACTCAATTCGCTTCACACAAATCACTGCCTGCTTCCCAACACGTGACGGCTACATCCTGCAACAAACAATTAAAAACTCATGCAAATGTGCTGTAAGGCTTGTATTAATACACATATGGTGGTTGACAGGCAGACAGGCAAACCTAGATGGGATTTGGACAGCATGGAGGAAAAAAGGATTGATGATTATTGTTAAAAATGAACAGGTGCCGTGGTCGTTCAAAAAAAGTGAAGCTATGAAAGTGAAAACCTGTAAATGATATTGCTTTCTGTACAAGTGTTCAGATTCTTTGCTCAGGTAAAAGTAGTAACGCTACACCATAATAATACTTAATTGCAAGAAAGAAAGACCTGCATTTGAAGTAGTAGTAGTAGGCCTACTTACAGAAGTAGCCTTTTGATAGCAGCATGTACTTAAAGCAGCTATAATCTATATTTTTATAATAACAATCTATCAAATGACAATGCAAAAACAATGTGACAAAAAAGTGGTCATTCGTAGCTCTCCTGCCTTTACAAAGCTTCATAGTGAGCTTCAGCTCATTGTTTAGCTGTCCAGCCCATAACTTCACTGGTTCACTCTCACCGCTCTCAAGTGTTGTTTTGTTGTTTTCTAAAAAGATCCCTGTCTGTCCTTAAATCATTCAAATGGACTTTATGCTTAGACAGTAAGTCTAGAATTCATGTGTTTATCTGTCTTTGGTTTTGGGAGGTCTTTAGTGTGGTGTTATCATTGCTGTCTTGCTTTATTAAATGGAGTAAATGAATACAGAACATGTTCTAAAAAGCTCTAAAAACCCACTACACTAAAGCAGACACACAAAGTTAGTGACTAGCTGCTTAACTTAGTGGAGCATTTAGCAGCTAAAGAGTCAGACATTTCCCTCAGTAGTTGGTTGAGAGAGATAAACGAGAGTTCATATTACACTTACATTCATCAGGTGGCCGGAAACAAAACTCCAAATGAATGATAACACTGATTATAGTTATTTATGATCAAAAGGGCTCAGTGACAACTTTAGTTTATCAACATTACTGGAATCGTATGGTGACAGTATCTTTATTTTTTATCATTCTAACAGATTGAATCACTGCTTCTAAGTACATTTTAATTATTATCTACCAAAATGAGTCTTCTTGAGTAACATGTGTGAAGTTTTGTCTTACGTAATGCATAACATTGAAACACAGTTCACTAAAGCGAAAATCAATTTGATTATTTCATTTGTGATTTTGCACAACATATTATTATTGGGAATAAAACTTTGAATATCATTATATTGTTATAAACCATATGGCCAAGCCCTTCTGATGGTACTACTGCCAGTTCTTTATATACCACTGTGAAGTTTAATCTAAAAAATCATCACGTTTTAGAAGCTGATGAGTTTTGTCTGTAAAATCTGGATTTTCAAAATTATTAGTACCAATATGGGTCAAAGTGATATAGTGCAGTAAAATGTATAATATTTCCCTCTGAAATGTCGTGAAGTAGAAGTTTAATGTAATATAATACAGAAATACTCATGTCAATTCTGAGGTAGTTGTACTTGACATGAGTACAGCACTTGAGTAAATCTGCTTGAATGTGCTTAGTTACCTTCCACCACTGCACAAAGTCCCTGTTTCTATCTGCTTCACATACAGACGCACAGAAAACTAAGAGAGAAATATTCATGTAAAGAGTTCCCTGGTGATGCTGTAGCTCACTGACTCATATCGCATCCCGAGAAATAATCAATTCATACACACAAGAAGCCTGTGTGATTCGTTTTAATAAGCTTTTGTCATTGTCTCACACACATGCACACACTGGAATCTCAATATTCAAATAGCACAGGACACATAGGGGGTTGTAAGCTTGATGCAAAGCTACCACTGGTCACAGACAATAAAGGTCAAGTTTGAGTGCAGCTTAAGGTACACACAATCCATTTTTCACAAGAATTCATTCAGAATATCATTTAAAACCTTCGTCATGACAACTCTATTAACCTCAATAATTAGCAGGGAAACAGAGAAACTAATCAACATCTGCAGAAGAGCCAGTGTGCACTTCAAAAAAGCATTCATCCATTTAGGAGATATCTTCCTGCTCAGGAAGGTCTTGATCTGTGATGACAGCGAGGAGGAGGAAGAATCTGGATGTTGAGCGTAGCAGTGTGTATCCACAGCAACCAAATCTGACAAATCCACTCTCTCAGAGTTTACTCATGACAGTGGCCTCTGTGGGAGTTAAGAGAGAAAAAACTTGAAACTTGTAAAACAAGGGAAGCGAGCATTTTACCTTGGTCATGCAGCGGTTAATAGCATTTTGGCTTTTGGAGCGTCTGGTCGCTTCAGAGGGATCTGTTAGCGAGGATTAGTCACTCTCAGTCCAACATGGCTAAAGACACACTCAAAAACATGCAAACACACGCACATACACATCAAACAGACAGCCAGTGTGGGCAGTGCCAGGTGTTGGAGACACATAAGGTTTATAGTGGAGAGTTGGAGGCCTGCCTGCAGCAGCTCTGTCACACAGACCGACAGTTCCGGTCCATCTACCAGCCAAGCACCACTATTGCTCGCTCACTGCTGCTACAAAATCTACTGCACATCCATTAGAGGAGAAAGACACCATCAGCTAGCACAGACTTTTTAAAGGGACACACCTGCTTTTTATTTTGGGGGGGGGGATAACCTCTTTAGTCAACTGACTCGGTGGTGAAGTGCTGATATCATGCTTCAAGTGGAGAGCAGATGCCGTGTCACAGTTTAAAACTGCAGCATGTGGAGTGGAAGCTCAGAGTTTGCATCATCACATAAGTAAGAAAACAGACCCTCTAACCCTAAAGCTGGATGGACTCAAGGTTCAGTATTCATTATTTGTTATTTACGGTGTATTCTATTATGTACTGTGTATTTATTCTCTTTTTTTTTTTTTAGTTTGCACTTTTCTTAATGTGGATCAGGTTCACTTCATCTTCTATGAATTCTTTCTTGTATTTTTTGGTAAAGCATTTTTTGACTTATGTGTGAAAAGTGATATACAAATAAAGTGTCCTTACTTACTATATAAAATAACTCAACAATCTGACCATGAAATCAAAGCTAATTTTACACATAAGCGTTTTAAACAGCATTAATTGATGCCAGCTGGGTGCAGATAAACAACAGTGATGTATTATGACCTTAGGTCATTATGGTAAACAGTTGCTGATTTACACAGCAAAATTTACATTAATTTGGAGTCTATAAGTCTGTATATTCACTCTCTTTTTCGCTCTGTTTTGGTTTCCTCCAACTCCAGAGGCAAATATCTGGCTTCACTATGTTTACCAGCTAGTGACTAACTTAATCTTTCTTCCATTTAGTGCAGAGTAGTTAGCATATAGTAGGTTTATCAGTGCTTTCAGATGTCTAAAAAAATGTGTCGAAAGATGCTATAGTGCTCTGTTGACTAGGTGATTCTTGGGTTTGTCACTACAAGCAACACCATTAACATGATGCACAGTAATTTGATTCTTTGTTAATATAAAATACATATGATGATAATGTATATTATTACTGCTTTGATCAAGAACTAATACATTTGTTTGATTGTCTAAATATTGGCTAAAATCAAAGCGGGACACAAATAAATGAACGTCTGTTACATTCAGGCCCATTCCTGTGCAGGTGCACAAGTAATGTTGCGTTTTACGTCAACTAGCAATGATTCATTTGCCGGAGCTGAAAAAAAATGTCCATAGAAGAGAACATTCAACATTCAATATACAATATTATTAAGAATTGTTTATTTTGTTTATTATGATTATAGTTTGTGTTAATATGCTTTAGCAATGTTGTATTGTATGCAGTCATGCCAATAAAGCAACTTGAATTGTAATTAAAAAGGAGATGACACAACTCTTTCATTACATGGCTATGAAGGAACCGTAGCGACAGAGTAGGCTACAGCAATTAGCAGTATGGCAGAGACTTTGGCGGAAAAACCTAAGAAAAGAAAAGAGAAAAGTCCAAGAAAAGTTTCTGATGCTCCAGATAAAATAGAAACTCTGTGTTCAGAGGAAGGATTACAGTCAAACAACAGTATTGGGAACTGAGATTTATTACAAACTCAAAGGATAAAGTTGATATATTTTTTGTTTTTTCAAAATCTTACGAAAAGACCAAAACCAACAATGAGAAAGTCCATATGTCAATACTTTCTGACTTTCCTACATTGTCTGTGGCACTCTAGAACACTGGTCCCTACAGAAGATATACATCTTTAAATACAGGCTACAATTATATAGTTTTATTTTTAAAGGAAATAACATTCTTACAACAGTTGGTCACTGTAAAACGTAAACGAGAGTGCATTTAGGGACTATTTTCAGTAGTGGATTAATACACATTTGATGCTGGGGTGAGTATTATCGTCAGCAAGACAGTGTATGTAAGTTGAACTGACTCAAAATGTCACTGATTGACTGATAAGATATATTAGGCTTTCTCTATACAAGAAATACTTGTTAATAGGATCAATTTATTTTATTGGTCATTTTTACATTTTTATCTACAAAATACTATTTTAGTAAACTTCTACATATTTTGGTTTTTGTATAAAATAGAGAGTACAAAGGCAATGCAGTTTGAGATCCCATTATTTTTAGCAACTGAGGTTCCCAGAGGCTGCATTGAAAGAGAGAAATCCTTCTTGGTATCAGCCACTACTGGTTGGATCTGTCTTCAAAAAGATTAAAAAAATTAAGACTCTTAACCCAGTGTCTGAGTTTAAAGCTTATGTGAGAGATATGGCTGCAAAGTTGATTGGATTCTGCTCTTATTATTAATAGGCTGCTCCTTCTTTTCTCTCTTACTCTTCTTTTACTCCTTGTCTATCAGGGCATATATGTCAAATGCTTAGCAAATGGTATGTTTTTAATCTTGTGTATTTAAGTGCATTCATCTTTTATGTAAAGCCGCTGCTGTTTTGCTGCTGTGTGTCTTAAAACATACTCTGAATTGTAATAGTAATGGAAAGAAAATTATGTTAAATCTCATGCATACTGTATATATTTATATACATTGCCTTGAACTGTTACACATCATGCATGCATTAATGTTATATAGAGTGATATATTCAAACCCCAGAGGCATTGCTTTTACTTTACTGCCACTTAGACCATGACATTTCCCCTTTCATTTAAAATTAAACACAACACTCCACCTGCTTTGGTTTCAATGTCAGCCTTGCTTCACTGCGTTGTTGGTCATGCTGCCAAGTTTTTGTTGACAGCACAGTGTGTGAAGGTTTGTCTGTTTGTTGTAGTTAATCTTTGGTGGGTTTTTTTGTTTGTTTCAGTTAATTTATCGCTGCTATTTTTGTCACGCAAATCTGGAACAAGGAAATATAAAAACGGATGATTATTCTAATTGCTTTTTGAGGTCTAAAAGCACAGACAGAGGCAGGTTGAAAAGGCATCAATTGAGGTCCACAGTTGTTTACATTGCCGGCTTCTTACTGTAATAACAATATGGGTTTTAGTGACGCTGCTCCAGCTGAATAATTCAGGTAAGTGTAAGATTTTTTCCAAATTAGATGCCAGACTCTGCAGCAGTATTAAACTTGAGGAGGTGAAGATTTGAAGGATTTCTTCTGAGAAACTTTCTGATTGTTTTGTTGGTCTTATGTTTGGCTTTGGCAGCAGCTGTGTGCCAAGTCATATGAAAAAAACAACTGTTTTATAAAAGCAGAAAGCATGAGATGGCTGAAACCTCTCTCTCAAAATGTTTTGGAGGGGAGATGTGAGTTTGATTTATAGCAGTGGTAAAGCAAGACATTAGAGGTTAAGGCTGCAGTTGTAATACCGATGCTTAATTTGAATAATTGAGTGAATGACTGATCATGCTTAGGAGCCCAGACTGCTTGGCATTATAACACTATCAATCACGAGTGCAATCAAAACAAATGGGTGAAGTCATCATGTCGAGCCAACATCAAATTTACGTATTTACTAAACTTCATTTAACCATACAGATCAATTTGCAATAATGGCACACTACTTTGCTTCTAGTCTATTTTGAAATCAGGTGAGATAGGACTTGTAGATTGAAGAAGGAACCTTGGAGGCTTAAAACATGATTGTTCTTTTTTTTATTTAAACCAGACACTTTTCACCTTTGGAGGAAAAACATTTCACATTTTCTTTCCCAGCATCAGTTTGTAAACTAGCTAGCTCGAGGCCAGTGGTGCCCATTACTTGCATTCAGAAATGTAAAGAATGCAAATAGCCAATTTCATTTAACTTGAGGTGGAAGTACTGGCAATTTATTCCCAAATATTGTAAGTGCAGGCTGGAGGAAATATCAGGCTTTTCTCCATGAACACACCATTTACTTTTCACACAGGGGTTAGGACTGCCCATCTACCAACAGACTAAATGCAGTTATTCCTGTTGATAAAGCAAGCTACACATGTTGACACACACCATGCTGGTTACCTGAACAATAAGCTGCTGTCATTGGTCAGACTAGAGAATGGGCACAGAAATGAGGGCAAAACACAGATGATTGGCTAAGAAAACTCACTTCATGCACTCATTCATTTTCATTTTAATTGGCCTTTAATGCTTCTTGGTTGCATTTTCTCTTGACTTTTTTGATATTGGATAACCATCTGATCCTCCCAAGACGCACAAAGTGGCTAATTATAAATGTGGTAAGTGTGTTCGGCTTTGCTCACTGATATCTAGCAGCTGTGCTATACTTGGAGATAGTGCAAAGGAGTACTGGCTGGAAGAAAACTCTTGTTTGTCAAGAAAAAGTTACAGCATGCCACCAACTAAATAATGGCAAAATGAGATACAATATGTTGTGCTTCCCACCGCTTTCAGTCTTTATGCTAAGCTAGGCTAACAACGTCCAGCTCCATACTTATCATACAGACATGTTATTGGTACTGATCTTCTCAATTAAAGGTGTCACGCTCTGCCGGTTGGCCATCTATTGTGTTGCACTTTTGAGCTTAGTATGTTGAGTTTTGGGTTCTGTCCTGTCTAGTGTCCAGTATCTGTTATATAGTCTGCTTGTCATGTCTAGTCTCTCTGTTTTCCTCTGCTCTCTCTCTGCCTCGTTAGTCTCATGTCTGTCACCTGTGTTGCTCCCGCCCTGCTCGTTAGTCCCTGTGTATATATACCTGGTGTTTCTGTCTTGTCCTTGTCCGGTCATTCTGTCACGATCGTGGTGTGGAGGCAGGTTGGAGAACCCAAACGCAGGACACAGAGCGGGGCAGGTATGGTACAACGAAGGGTTTTAATAAACAAACAAAAGCGAGCACACTTACAGGTGAGTGGCTGAATAACTGAAATCCAAAATTACCGGGAGACGAGACAAGACGAGACAAGCAAGGCTGGTTACAGGCAGAGAGTACACACACGACAGAATGACCGGACCACAAAGGGACCCAGCGGACACCATGTCCGATGAACTGCTTGATCTGTGCCGGGAGCTTATGGTGCTGAGGAATATGTGGTATGGGGCTAGTCATGTTAGCCATAAGGCAGCTATCGTGTCCCTTGCCTGGAAGAGCCTGGCTGCTCAGCCAGGAGCAGCAGACTCTCTCCCTGAGTGGGTTTGTGACTTCCTCCACACCTCAGCCAATCCCCCAGCCAAGTCCTCATCAGATCCTCAGTCTGTTAGCCTGGAAATGGCTAACACCCGGACCGCTAGCCTCCGGCCGTCATCTCTCCGGCCTGCTAGCCCTCCGCCTGTCCTGCCTGTTACCTGTTCGGCTGGCGCTGCTAGCCCTCCGCCTGTCCTGCCTGTTACCTGTTCGGCTGGCGCTGCTAGCCCTCCGCCTGTCCTGCCTGTTACCTGTTCGGCTGGCGCTGCTAGCCCTCCGCCTGTCCTGTCTGTATCCTGCTTGGCTAGCGCCGCTAGTCCTCCGCCTAGCCTGTCCGTCCGCCTGCCTGCCCTACCTACCAAGGACTCAGGGACTATGACTCTCCTGGCCTACCTGACCATGAAGGCCAGGGAGTCAGAGGCAGCACGGGCAGCTACACTATGGCCTGATAGCCTGGAGGCTAGGCTTTCCCCGGAGTCGTCCTTTGAAGGGAGTCGCCTAGCCATCTTTTCGGGTTCCCGTGGTGGTCATCGGAGGCGACAAGGTCACCATCAGCGACCCGTCGGCAACAAACCTGTCCCCTGGCTTGCTAGAACGGCTAGCCGCCTGCCTGATTCCCGGCCCGCTAGCAGCCTGCCTGCCCACCTGCCTGATCCCCAGCCTGCTAGCGCTGCTAGCCGCCTGCCTGATCCCTGGCCTACTCCTGCTCCCAGGTCTCACTCGGTTGTCCTACCGACACCTGTTACTGGTCCCTCATCGAAGGCCCGACTGACACCAGTTCCAAGGTCTCCGTCGGTGGCCAGACCGGTTCCCGCTCCCCGTGCCCCGTCGGTGGTCCGACCAACACCAGCTTCGTTGGTGGCCCAGCCGACTCCTGTTCTCCCGTCGGTGGTCCGACCAACACCAGCTTCGTTGGTGGCCCAGCCGACTCCCATTCCTCGTGCTCCGTCGGTGGTCCGACCGGCACCTGCTTCGCCGGTGGCCCAGCTGACTCCTGTTCCCTCGTCGGTGGTCCGACCAACACCAGCTTCGTTGGTGGCCCAGCCGACTCCTGTTCCTCATGCTCAGTCGGTGTTCAGACCGACTCCAGCTCCTCGTGTCCGGTCATTGTTCATGTTACCCCCCAGTCTGTCGTGTGTGTACTCTCTGCCTGTAACCAGCCTTGCTTGTCTCGTCTTGTCTCGTCTCCCGGTAATTTTGGATTTCAGTTATTCAGCCACTCACCTGTAAGTGTGCTCGCTTTTGTTTGTTTATTAAAACCCTTCGTTGTACCATACCTGCCCCGCTCTGTGTCCTGCGTTTGGGTTCTCCAACCTGCCTCCACACCACGATCGTGACAAAAGGGGTATTATGGAGTTTCCAGTGGCCACTAGCGGTGCGGTTTTAAGATTGCTACCAGGCGTGTGCTCGTACACATGCTCGCTTGAACTTATGAGCGAGCATAATCCGAAACACAAACACTTTCATGCTTTCATTCAGAAATCCTGCAATAAATGCAGTCACACCAGCATGCAGGCTGTGGCTTTTCACTCAGACATGTTCAGGCTCTGTTACTTCAACGTTCCCGTCTCAGAGGCAGATCAACAATGGCTCCGTAACATTACTTCATTCAGCGCAGCCAGCTGCATATCGGCACAATCCTCCCGGGAAAAAGGCAGAGTGACAGTGGCTATAGACAGGCAGGGAGACAGCTTCACACGATATACCGGTCAGGTAAACCCCTACTGTAACGTTACAGTAATAGTTTTATCAGCTGCAGGTTGAACTAATCCATGCTTGTCACAGTACATTTACTGCATTTAGCCGACGTGCTACAACGTTAGCTCACCTGCTGCTTTCAATAACTATTTCTACTATCTGTGTATCTTTCACTGGAGGCTCAGCAATGTCAGCACAGCTAAATATATTGGATGATAACGAAACAGGTAGTGAGCTGGACTGAATATTATAACGAGATAGTGTCACACTTCATAACAGTTAGACCGCAGTAAGTAAATTTACTGTAGTGTTAGTGCATGGCTCTTCGTCTGGATTGCTGTCACTGTGAAGTTTCAGTATTGTATATTATGTGGGTCGTGTAAGTTTTATGGTGTTAGTGGACTGCATGTTAGCATGTTAGCTGGCCTGTTGTCGCTGTAGTACGAGAGAGGCTCGGGAGCGCACAGGGCTGAATCCGACCTGGAGTCCCCACATTGAAAGCAGAATGAATAGTGGCTGATGCAAACAACAGAGAAAACAGGCGTGTGCTTCATTTCTAAGTGAGTTTTTAGCCCCTTGACAATAAGGCAATGAAAATTTGATTAATTTCATTGAAAAACTACGAAAAAATACGTGACTGGCAGTACCAATAAATACATCAGAATGTAACAAGTGTCTCATTTTTAGTGGTGCAATAAAATAATTCTAAAACAATTAAATATTTTGCACATGCCATTTGTTTGTTCTGCTCTGCCCTTTACAGAAATTATTTGTGACAATAACTTGCATGACATATGTGTAGCCGCATATCACTATGTAACATTTAGCAGTCACAAGAACAAATGTGTGACACAAACAGTCAATGGAATATGTGTTCAAAGAGACTTAAGTGATTAAATAAATCAAATAAATTAATGAGTGAATTAACAAGGCAGTTTCCCAGATGGTCAGCTATGGAAAAGGCCATGCCAATCAACAGAATATGCATCTGCGTGTGTGCTTTTGTGCATTCAAATCATTTAATAAAATATACCTATAAGCATGTTAATGTGTATTTAAATGTTTTATATGTCACTGAATGTATGTGTGTTGGGGGAGCAAGTATGTTTATTTGATGCAATTAAACCTGATTAGGAGTGCTATATCTACACAGTGTGATGTGTCTAATGGCTTCCTGTATGTGTGGATGGAGTGGATGTGCAAATAGCACACGGTGGATGATGTAGAGTATTTATCACACCACAGTGTGTGTAGCTAAATTGAGCTGAGCTGTCAACACTGTCTATAGGCGAGTGTGTATGTGTGTGTGTACAGTGTGTGTATCTGTGAGTGTGTGTGAGTGTGAAAGAGAGAGAGGGAGAGACACAACTCACCGGCAGGGAAGTAGAGCGGGAGGTTCTGCAGATACAGCTCCTTATCCGTCGGCAAGAACACACAGAAGATGACTCTGTCCAGCTGACGCACACACATACACATGCAATGACCTTTATTACAAGCATATGCAATAAACATGAATTTATCAAAGGCAGGGAGGAACAATGTAACAGTCTGTGACATTGTGCGGTGGTGATATCAGGAGAATGCAGCTAATGGATTAGTCCATTACTCTCCTATTAGCTCACTATTATGATCATGCTACAACACAGCACTTATTAAACTGCATGCTGGGGACAGAGAGCTGAAAAGTGTGTGTGAGCGTGAAAGAGAGAGAAGGAGAGAGAAAGAGAAATAGAGGTAGGGAGAGGAGAATTTCCTGTGTGGGTATATAAGTACTTCTATTGTTGAAGTGTTTGTATTTATGTATATGTGTATAAGGGAGAGAAAAATAACTGTTTTTATGCATGTCACCAAATGATAATCTGTGTGTGTGTGTGTGTGTGTGTGTGTGTGTGTGTGTGTGTTTGGTGTTTCTCTCATTACTGTGTGAGAAACACCAGTCAACTCAATCCAGACTTACCTCTACACACACACACACACACACACACACACACACACACACACACAGAGCACAGCCATAAAGAGAGTAGATTTCAAATAATCTTAAGACACTGGCTGAGTGAGTGCAGCTATTTTATAACAATAAACAATCTTTATGCTCTGTGCTTGTGTTCTGTAGATCCTGGCTCTGCAGTCTATAATATTTACATTATACTCTTTAAAACTGGACAGACCACACAACACACACCACTATATGTAACCTGATGATTAAAGTTACTGTTACTGTAGCTACATTAAAAAAATGCTTCCAGGGATATAAGCTCCACTGTGCTCTTATTTCTCAGACTCTGACAAACATTATTACCACCCTAATGTGTCTACAAAGGTTTAGGTTTTTCCGGTTTGGGTGAGGCTGTGAAATTTATGGCCAGGCTGTTTCTATCACTTTGTGCCTGGTGTGGGAGTTTAAGTCTCTTTGCTTTCAAATACAGACATTTTAGCGGCCTGCTACCCCGCAGCATGTGTTTTTCAGTCCCGGCTTGTTGCACAATTACCATCACTTGCTAGGATTTGAATGGAGGCTAAAAGAGAAGATATGGAAATGTGCAGTAAGTAACTACATCCCCTGGGCTAAGGTTCGAAATCTCTAACCTCCACACTGAGTTGCATCCACTTGTGCCATTTTACAGCCTCCCTCATTCAAATTAAAGCAAATGCTTGTGATGAGAGACGTAAAATGGCCTCCAGAAAATGGTAGCAGTGGGAAGCTCATTTTGATCCTATTGCGACAGAGACCCCGGAGATGCTAAAGCTAACAATAACATAAACCGAATGTAATGGGCTCTCTCAAAACTGCCTGTCTTGAAGGGAAACACAGACCCTGTAAATATTCCCTTCTCAAACAGAAAATCTGTCTGCAGCAAAGCATCTACAATTGACTGTTTGCTCCCCCGAACAGTGAACTTTCAATCATACCTCACAAAGTTTGGTGGATTGTGTGTTTATGCAGTGTGCTTATCCGCTACGTAAGCTGGAAACATTCGCATGTGCAGCTACAGTAATTAGCTCACTGCCTTATAGTGTTGTTAGAAATGTCTTTGTCTCTCTATGTGCTTTGAGAGAATGAAATGGCAACAGTAACTAATGGGGACAGAGGTTATCAAACAACTGGGTAAACGTCATCTGCTGATCGAAAGCCCCAGAACAGCTAATAAATGGCCCTTGTGGGGTAGATCTCAAATGTCATACATCAGTTTCATCTAAACTTTCTGGACGACTGTGAATATAATTTATAAACTATAGCAACTATGAAACTGCCTTTGGTCTTACTTTCTTGCTGTGTTTTACGCATAAATGATTCATGTTTTGATTATTACACTTGATGCAGAGTGTTGGCACAGTGCCCCGTGTCTTGAGTATCTTACTCTGTCTATAATTTCCAATTTCATTTTCTATGATACTGCACTCCGAGCCAGAACAAGCCCAACAAAACACACTGTAAAAAATGTTCAATGGAGGGGGTTCAATTAAGGAAGAAACCCAATTTCCTCTAGTGAGCATTCTTACTTTATATGTATGCAAATATACTCCGTCCCGTTTGTTTACAATAAAACTTTTCTCCCCTTTAAAATAAAAAAAAACCACACACAGTGGAACTTTTCTGGGAACAATGTAAATAAGGGCCTCATTGATTTGGCTTTCCTTCGTATAAGTCTTGCTGAATGTTGTCCTCTGATGAGACACATAATGTTTAATGTTAGTTTGTTGAGGTCGGTACGGCTGATGGCATCACTCGGCTGGTATTGCTACAGACACTCTGGAGACTCCAGCACTAACAATAACATCGTCAGCACCCTCTCTGGGAGGAGATACAGCACAGCGGTTAGAGAGAGGAAGAAAGATTGAAAAGAGGAGAGGGAGGAGACATGAGATGTAAAAGAGGAAGAGGGTAGGAGTGTTTAGGGCACGTAAACGACTGATAGGAAAGTTTCCTCTTTGTTCCCCCTTCACAACCCCTCTCCCCCTCCATCCCTCCTCTCATCTATTCCATCATTTTGCCTTTTCTGTGCTTGCTGTTCCTCTGGAGAGAAAGCGTGTGTGCGCGTATGTGTTTGTGTTAGTCGGGTTTAGTCCCGCAAGGAGCCAATTAAAACGCAGACTTGGCCAAGAGCATGAGAGCCAGAGCTTGGGTTTGTGTGTTTAAATGGTATATTTGTGTGTGTGTGTGTGTGTGTGTGTGTGTGTGTGTGTGTGTGTGTGTGTGTGTGTGTGTGTGTGTGTGTGTCACTGTGTGCATATATGTGTTTTCTCAATACACCCTTCTCCTCGCTCCCACCAGAAAACAAAAACAACAGCTGTGAAACGAATAATACCTAGAGGAAATGGTTGGGAAAATTTGGCAATCACACACACACACACACACACACACACACACGCACCTTGTCATGATGGTGATCCAGATACTCCCTCACAGTTGCTAACGCCTCGTGCACAGCCTGCTCAGGTGGATATCCTGCACCATCACATACACACACACACAAAATCAAAAATATACACACAATTTGCAAGAACAGGTGCAGTGCCAGATCTGTGTGTTTGCGCTGTTTTTTTTTTCCAAAAGAGATACCTGTTCATCTTTTCATTATTAACACTATGTTCTGTATTTTTGCACTTCCTCTCATCCCCGACTCGCCAATTCCGGCGAGAAGCAGACACAACACACTTGTTGGTCGCGAAGAGACAGATGGAGTGAAAAACTACAGTGCTTCTTCTATAGTCATTCAGCGACCGAGACCTTTCAGTGCTGGTAAATTATCCCCGCCGCAGGAAACGCAACACAAAGGCAATAAAAATTCATCATCTGGCCAAACTGCTCAGCCCAAACAAACACATACCGTGTGATTATACAGTAATTATTCCATACATCAGGAGAGAGGGTTCAACATGTGACGGTAGGAATATACATAAGGGTGCAAATTAGCGCTCAACAACACATTGTTTCCCCACAATACACACATTTTTTAATTATTCACACTGCAAGGGATGCATAATATGTCAAACTGGGCCCTTTATATAACGTTAAACAATTGTACTGCTTGATGGAAAAAATAGAAACGTATGGTTTTCCATAACTACAATTAAAGTCAAATAGTCTTGTCCATCTGATGAAAAAGCATCTTTAGAATAAATAAACTTTAAAGCCTCTGCACACCCACAGATGATTTCACTTACTTTCCTACTCTTGCCTGTGTGGGTGTATGCAAACTGTGATTGGCACCTGCCTCACGCTTCTGTTAGCTTTTTTTCAAAAGTACATACATATATATACTACTATATACTACTAATACTTTTTAATGGAACGTAATACCATCCAGTTTAATCAACATAATGACGAAATTAATATCTTTGTGAAGTTGCAACTTGTTTATACGATAATGACCTTATCAGGAAAATGTTCAGTCAAATGTGCTGCTCTTTGCAACTAAAGCAAGATTAATGTTTTGGCAACTCAAAGCACTCGGTTAATGTTAAGGAAAGATCACAGTCTTGGTCAAATATTAAAAAAGAAACGGAAAATACAGGACCTGTTTAATTGTTTAATATTTAATCAAAACCATGATATTTTCCTCACCTCAACTGAGGCGTTTTAGTAGCCCTTACAGAACCACACAAGGGACGCAGGATGCCAACCCTGATCTCCGGTGTCAAAGCTTTTTCTGTGTCCCCCGTCCGCCTTGACACCTAAATACGACTCCTGTGTACACAGCACTTCCTGAACTGGAGAAAAATGTTGCTAATGAACATAATCAAGGCAGCAATACCATTTGCTCCAACACTTATTTAGTATTTTTATTGCTACATTGAGTTAAGGGACCTAATTCCCCTCATGAGTGTTCCCCCCTAAACTTTAATGAGGTCTAATCAGCCAAAGTGACTGAAAACAACTTAAAGACCAGGTATTTTGTTATTTCTGAGAGAGTGGCATGACTACTGTATGTCTGTGAATTCTGCCACTAATGGTTCCCAATTTAATCAAAATGTATTCGGTTTTCAGTGCTCCACAACAAGCTCTAAGATCTGTCTGTAGCAATATTCAAAAACTACTAATGTGATTGGCTGGCAGTTCTGCTGGCAACACACCTTTTATATTTGTCAATTTTATCACATGCCAGCTTCACGCTTTAACAGCTGTTAGATAACATAAAGGACTGTAAAATACATCTTAAATTTAGACAATTTATTTCTCCTTCTTCATTTAATAAACGCAGTATTCTTAAAAAGACGATGAGCTAAAAGCAGACAGACACTGAAAAACAGGTGCAACAGAGCAGAGGACTTGAATAGCACACTGAGTGAATCACAACTTTGGCCTTTTCCTCTGTCTAGCAACAGGGTATAAGTGTCGACAACCCTCACACCCAAACCCACCCCGGGGAGTGTTTAAGCACTATCCGTAACTCTCTCTCCTGCCAGTGTGAAGGGGGATTACAGTCCATCTGACACAATCTCCGGCCTAATCTATCTTAATCTGCCGGTCTTAATCCAAGGCCTTAATCTGAGAACCACCTCTGGGCTACAGGAGATAATGTGACAAGTGGCACCGGGTGGCTCAGCACTCTGGTTAAACATGACGATTGATACTGGAAACTAGCATCTGATGAAAAACACAGACAGTGTGTTCAGCGTGGCAACACATAGATGCATCACATCACATACACCGATATTATGTTGAACATTTTTCTCTCTCTTTCACTCAAAAAAAAAATCCCCAGTTTCAGTATAAGGCCCTAAGCAAACCGTAAAAACACAAATTTCTGACAATTATGATAACTCTCACACACACAAACACACACACACAACAGAAGACAACGTCATGCATGTTAAGAGGAGGAGACACACATGACACACAGACACTGACCGTAGATTCCAGTGGAGATACAAGGGAAAGCCTGCAGAGTAAAGATGACAAACAAAGTGGTTACAATCTGTTGCTGATCACATAACAGCTTGCTTTCATCTCACACTCACACACACACACACACACACACACACCCCAATGCACAGAAATCACACTCTGCTGGATGTCGATGGACTCTTTCTCCTGATTGTTTTTTATGGCAGTCTTTCTTCTTTATTTCACATCTATTTAAAGTGTCGATCATCCTTTATGTCAGAACTGGTGTAGAAGAACTTCCTTCCTCAGCTACAGTACTGTTAGCCCTAAGCATTATTACAATAATTATAACGGTAGATGTGGTGATTGATTGGTTGATTTGGTAACACCACTGGTTTCTTTTAACAACAGCTAGTGTGGTTTAACAATACAGGTCCCAGAGTTACATTCAGAATGACAAAAAAAGTAACAACTTGGGTATCTGATTACAGCGAAGCCAAGCAAAACATGGCTTGAGAAGACTTATTCAGTCACATTTACAAGACAACAGTAAATAATTGGCTTTTTTTTGCCATGCTGCGAGCAACCATAATCCACACCACAGGACAGACTTGTAAAAGGAATTGTTTACATTGACAATGTGTTGGAGGGGAGCTGTCCCCCGCAACTCTTCATCTAACAGATCACTGTGGCTATTCAAGAGTGAAAGCTGCCTGTGTTTCGGCAGTTGAATGCTTTTAAATAATAGTTGTTTTCTGCCCCAAATGTGTATTTAAAAGATTCTCTTAGGGTTTAAGAAGCCTGTTGAGTACCTTGCATCTCTCTACTCTCACTACATAATAGAGGCATAAAATGCCCCAAAATACATACTTGTATAGTCCTGACATGTCTATGGGCCAGGTTTGCGTGAGTAAAAACGTGTGCAAACTTGATTTCACCAAAAAATTAACACTTAAGCTGAATTAAGCTGCACACAGAATAATGTCTTTCAAAAGTGCAAGATAGCGCCTGTTGTTCATTTAGTACTTTTGTCTTAATGAATATGCAATTTGGGGCATTTCAATTTTATTGTGCAAAGTAATGGAAGGGTAACATACAAATACATTTATTTACTACAGGCAATGTGATCTAACAAGCATAAATGCAACTTCATGTGAGTGCAAAAGCATCTGTATACCTTTGAAAGGAAGGTGCAAACCACCAAGTGTTGTGCAGAGATGGCTGCTGTTATTGTTGACAGAAGGAGACACAGCCATAATGAAAGAAAACGTAGAGAAATTAACAATATTAGCCTATACTATATGCACTATATAGAAATACAATTATTTTATTTTATTTATTGATGAAGTATATGAATTGTTTTTTGTATTTTCCTTTAGCGTTGGCAATACTGTTGTATTAACATTCATGCCAATAAAGCAAATTTCGTTTCGACCTGACTTCTTTTCTCCGTGAGATGGAAGAATTTAGAAAGTTGCGTGGCTCTGCAGTGCATGGATCACGCGTAAAATTCATCCAGCCAGAAGGAATGAACTGTTCACAGCGCCGGTCGTAATAGCGATACAACCCATTGCATCGGTAAGGGAATGGGGCGTTGGGCTGTACAGGGCCAGGGACTGGAGATCGAGGAGCGACCGGGCACGGTGCGGACGGTCGGTGATTGTTCCCTCTGGCTGGAGGAAGTACGATCTGCTGATATTTCCTCGCGTCTCGGTCATTCCAGCGTAGCTGTTTCTGCTGGGGTTTCCCAAAGCAGTTTTTCAGGTGTGCTGTCCCAAGTGCAATCTTAGGCAGGATGGGCAGGTACATACGATTTCCACATACTCAGGATGCACTGAATGAAACAAACCAAGGTTTCTACGCAGTGGCTGCTTTCCCTCCCGACTCTCCATGGCGGAAACCATTAAAACAAAACCCTCATTTAAATACTGCCACCTCCATTGTGTTTGCTCCTGTTGTCATCTACGGAATAATTCTTAGTAAATCACCCATAACAGATACTACAACTACACGTGCAATATTTTAGAATGCACTCGTAATTAGTACTCTTTATTCGGGATGTTAGTTAATCGGGCCCTTTATGTACAATGAAAGCACTGTTAGTTGCTTTAATTATTTTCCAATGCAATGTGGCCGCAAAAAATATATTTTCCTAAAGCTATTTCAGCCAAAGCTAATATGAGGCTTCAGCTGTATGAGTTAGCCAAATCAGGAGGGTATCTTCCCAAGTTAGTCTTTTTAGTACCACATTATCAGTTAGATAAAAGAACATGCATGCATCGTTTCTGTGAATCCCTTGCGACAATGTAATTTAAAACC